CTTGACTGTTATGTGCTCTAGACCTTTCGTCCTTCCTAGTATAAGTGGCTCTCCCCAGCCCTGGGCTTTGTCACTGTGGGGGATGCACATGCTGATTTCCCCCAGACAGTCCTTAACCAGCTCTCTGCAAATCCCTGCTAATGGGGAAGGAGAGAATGAGGAGTTTGCCCTTCCCAACAACCTTCACACAGGTTGTGTGCATCCTGCCAGAGCCAAGTGTGCTACAGTTACCGCTGCACACTGATCTGATCTTGTGCTTTCTCTCTATCAGAGGTTACTTTTGGTTATTGGCTGCCTGAGTGAGGTGAGGCCGAGAGACCCCCAGCCCCGGGAGCAGAGTGACCTGATCCAGGGAGCAATCCAGCTCATTCACTCTCTCCCAGCAGGGAAGTTCATGACTGCCCAATGCAGAGGGATGTTTCTGACACGTCTCAGGCAAGAGCTCACTGGCACTGGTAATAGAGCATGGCTGTCTCATTTGTAGGCTCTATTCACCTGACAGCTAAGAATTATCAGTACTGATGCTTCAGTCCCTTTCTCTTTTTCTCCAAGTGAGTGATTTGTCTATGTTATGGGTAGGTAAGCGTGACAAAACATTACACATTAGCAGCTGAGACAGTGTTTGAAAAGGGAAAATTGCTAGCAAACTGCTCCATTAGAGACCCAAATAACAAATTCTTTCTTTCCCTCAATGAAAGAGAGATAGTTACGGTCCAAATTAATTTGTCTTTCTCCCCACTCTGCAGGGGGAATCGCTTTTCAAGACAAATGGCTTCGTCACTCCTGAAAGTGAGCTGGCTCTATTAAAGCTGCATTAGGCAGAGTTTAGTCCTTTGTGTTTTGGCATCCTGGGTGTGAGCAATAGAGGCACCAGATGAGGAAGTGATGAAAAGATTTGCACCTCAGTGAACTTTGGGATGTATTAGCATGGGAATTTGAGTGCTTATCCTTTACTCTGGGATAGTCTTTCAGATTTAACTGCGTAGTTTCCCCCTATATGTTTTACTATTTTATTTTTCCAAGAAGTTTGCTTTTTGGTGTCATTGGTGCAAAGTCATTTAAACAGAGCGGGAAGGAGGATGACTTTATCCTATCTAACATTATTTTATTACAAGAAAAATGCATCTGAATCCATTGGGCCCTCATACGTTCCAATCTCTGATAATATATGAGAGAAGAGAAAGGAAGTTGTTCTTGTCCTTTGATGTTGTTGTCAAAGACTAAAATAAAGCTTTGAGAGGCAGACAGCATTGCTGTGTGTCACAAGGAGGGAGATCGGCTTCAGTTCATCTGAGTGATACAGCAGGCAGCAGGCACAGTGAAATGAGTAACTGAAAGGAGGAGCAAAAGACCTAAGAGGTTTGGACATGGCCAGTGGATTTCATCCATTTTGTGAATTCTATCTGTGGGTCTTTTAAATAGATATTATGAAATACCAGAGGAGAATTTTATTGAGTTGTAAGAAATCTTGAATGTGATAGTTCGAACGATCAAAATTCAGCCTTTTAGAGCTGTGTCTCTTGTGCAGAGTTCTCAGGAGTGTGATTTACAATTCTTCTATAGTGTATTCTGGTGATACACAAAAAAATGAACTCACTGATGCTGCTTTGCACAAGCACAGGTGGGTTTATAAGATATGACAGCACTTTAGAGTATGCAGGGCTAGACCATGAAATACAGTTTTCCAGGGGTCATGTTGTAGGTAAATGAGGTAATTTTCTCTGAAATAAAATGTGGCTGTAAAAGTTAGATTAGCTTTTCACTAAAAAAATCACATTACTAGGTAAGAACTGTTGTTCACTTGGTTTGAAAGATGGCATCTGTAGCAGCAGTATCCCATTATATTGTGAATAACACTGCCTTATAATTAAGCCTTCATCACCTTGAAATTGCCAGCACCCCTTCTGGCAAAAGCTAGTGTTTCCTAGGGATTTTTAAGCCTGTCTTTCAGATGTCATTCATGAGCCCAGATGAGGTGAAAGCACAAAGTATTAATACGAATAGTTTGCTTTCTACTTAGTTGTGTAACTGCATTGTGGTTTTCAGCCAGTGCCTGCCAATCTATAACATGCATTTATGGGTCAGATAAGTACTTCATACTGTTAAAATACCCAGTAATTTAATGCTGCACTTTATCTAATGCTCCAGGACCAACTCCATTTTGTGCCCAAGCTGGAATCCACCTGCAAACACACCCTGATGAGGGCACACAGTGCTGCTTGTTGCATCTCTGGTAGCATCTGCAAGATGCAGTGTGCTGAGCATAATGTGTTATGTGTAGTCTTTAGTCCTTCATTTACAGACAGCTTCAATAAGGAAACGTGAGGTGCTAAGGTGAAAATATAGTAGCAGATGACAACAGCCTTGTCCATCTATTTCTGTACAGGCCATCTGCTGCAAATTGTGTAGGAAAGGGTGAAGAATCCAGCTCTGCCTCAGAAAGTGGCTCTCTGAAACAACTCTTCCTGTATTCCTCCCCACCTGCTCTAGGAAGTTCATTTTTTCTTATTACCCAGGATCTGTGGTATTCCAATTCTCGTTGCTTTTGCCTTCAAGTCACTAAAACATCCTTAGAATTTTCAGTGATTACAAAAAAGGGGCCATGTTTCCTGCCCCCCACTAGATCTGACTTTCTTTGCAAGAACTGCTATGCTGTGTGCATGTGCAGTGTGTGTGAACCCCCAGTTTCCATCCTCAAGGCAAGGGAATTGGACAGGCATGGCCCTTCTTTGTTCCTAGAAGTGTCTGCATAGAAATACTTAGGAGGAGTTAAACATCAAACTGGCAAGCTGACAAAAAGCCTTTATGGGAAGAGTATGTGTACTGCTAATTCTGGTGACAAACACCCAATAGTAGCGTGCTGAAGCTTAGAGCAATTTGCATGTCACTGTGAACTTGCCAGGAATGAAGCATGTTATATTTAGACCAACTGGAAGGGAAATCTCAGACTCTAATTCAAATCACAAAACAAGGAATAGAATTAACTCTGGTCACAACCTTTAAAATAGAATGCTACAGAAATGAAAGAGTACGTGCACACCAACTGCACAAGTTGACTGTGCAAGTGTCACAACATTCAGGACTTAAATGGCTTCTTGGAGTATAACTGAGCTGGGAAAATATCTTATTTTCAAGGGGATTTTTCTTTTGTCTATTGAAAGCACAGATCAACAGCAGAAGAGGCTGTACAATAGAGGGCTGATGGGCCTTACGCATTTTCTTTACGTTATTCCCAAGTCCTTTAAAACCCATGATTTACTTCTCCCTGCATCTCATTTTATCTCTGTTCTTGGTTTTAAAATTTCTTCTTCCCTCTGCATTGCTGCAGCAGTTCTAAATGACTGGAGTGATTCATTCTATCATTCCAGTATGTTGTTCTGTTTCAATTCTAAACCATTTCCAACTGCAGATTTTTTGCTATTGAAACTGTTTCTTTTTATGATATCTTTGGGAAAAATACACAATGTTTGAATAGTAACTAAAAGCCAGGTAAAATCCAGTTTTGCTCTCAATTCCAACTCTGATTGTGGAATTCTAGCTGCCAGGGTCTTTGAATTCATTGTGTGGGGATCCAGTTTTACATTTCTTATTGAGATGATTGTTTGGGGTTCATCTGAGGCAAAGACAGTCCTTTTAGCAGGCATTTGGGGAACTTGCTGACAAAGACTTGAAAATACTTCTGGGAAGGAGTAGAAATTAATCTGAGTGGTTACTGTATGCACTATCTTAAAGCTGCTATGTTTTATGTTAGTGGTACCTGCATTTATGATAGTTCATAAAGAATACTTTCAAAACAAAGCTCAGAAATGAAAACAGCAGCATTGTAACGTAGTCTGGACCATATTTTAGAACACCTTCAGTATTTGGTAGTTAAAATAGGAAGATACAGTCCTTTTTGCTCTCCTTTAACATAGATTCTTCCCCCCTCCTTAAAAATCTGGATTCTTATATCAGGGATTTTTCCTTCATGTTTCAGGTTGTTCCCACAGATTGCTGTTCCTGAGGTGCTCTGATGGCATTATTAATCTACTTACTAAGCTATCACAACATAGCGTAGCTTTTAGTTGAGATAGCTGAGTTCTATTTATGACAGCTAGTCAAGGAAAACATCTGCATTTGCTACCTTAACTTTGATTAAGTAGTAATAAAATACACCTACTATTTCTTATTAATTCCATGAGCTTTAAAGGTGCAATGTTGTCCTGGGTTCAGCTACAGCAGTCATTTTTTCTCCTTCTTAGTAGCTGGTGCAGTGCTGTGTTTTTGACTTTCAGTCTGGGAACAATGCTGATAGCACCGATGTTTTTAGTTGTTGCTAAGTAATGTTTACTCTGACCAAGGACTTTCTCAGTCTCATGCTTTGCCAGAGAGGAGGGGAAGCCAGGAGGAAGCAGAGACAGGACACCTGACCCAAACTGGCCAAAGGGGTATTCCATACCACAGCACGTCATGCCCAGTATAGAAACTGGGGGGAGTTACCCGGAAGGCCCAGATCGCTGCTCGGGTCGGGCTGGGTATCGGTCGGCGGGTGGTGAGCGGTTGTGTCCTTTTCCCTTGTTATTCCTCTTATCATTATTATTGGTAGCAGTAGTGGTTTGTATTATACCTTAGTTACTGGAGAGCTGTTATCTCAACTCGTGGGAGTTACATTCCTTCGATTCTCCTCCCCATCCCTCCGGGAGCGGGGGGAGGAAGGAAAAGGGGGGGAGTGAGCGAGCGGCTGCGTGGTTCCAAGTTGCCGGCTGGGCTTAAACCACGACAAATGTCTAGAGCCTGTGACTTTTCTCTGTACAGATTTAGTGCAGTCAATGAGATTATTTTATTTTCGAAGTTATTTTCTCAGTATTTTCTCCATTTAGTGGCTTTCAGAAGAAAAGGCTGTTTCTTATTAAAACTCTATAAAATTGGTTTATATTTATATAAAACCTGCTATCATATTTAATGTCATTCCTGTCCTATAATCGTGTAGTTAACATGTATATTACTTTGTTTGTTTTCAGACGTTTGGAACAAAACCTCATCAAAATCATTCCCCCTGGAGCTTTTACCCAGTACAAGAAGCTTAAGAGAATGTAAGTTTTAATAAGACCAACATGCAAGAGCAATCATGAATCTTCTTGCTTCAAGTTCAATATCTTTATTTGAGAAACATATTGGCAATTTCTGTGTTGAAATCACTGGGGATTGCACAAATAATCTCTTCCAAGTGTAAGCAACAATGGAATTTGGTTCAGGATGCCTAACAGTGCATGAAAGCCTTAATAATACTTAATTTCATTTCCCATTATAAATGATGTGAGCTAATTAGCTGTTAGTCTGTTCAAACTTCAAATCTGCTTCCTCAGAAAAGACTTTGAGTTCTGTTTATTTCCTCATTCATTCTGGTATTGCACCACTTCAATTTACCTGACCCTAGTTACAGCAGGAGTACCTGTTCTTTCAGAGTAGTTAAGGGGTTTTGTAGTGCATTTGATATCTTGATGTTGAAATGGTTTGGCTGTTTAGAAGAAAACAGACACTTGCTGGAGCCTGTTTTCTCTGTTTCTGAATCGCCAGTAGGGACCCAGACAATTCTTTTCTCATTAGCTCTCATGTTTTCTCTTTGGATTTAAATAAAACAATCCTGATTTGTAGCAGTGCTCTCATGCAGATAACCTGGGCATTCCCCCTGTAGGTCTTTCTTTTCATTTTTAGCTGATATAGGAGAGATGTTGTGACAGTAGTCATACAGTAGCGATACAGACAGTGGCAAAGCAAGTTACTCCCACTTCAGCAGAGTATCAAGTTAATGATGGGTACTACTGAACCAATAGCTTCCAGAAGTCATTCAGACTTTGTTAGCTCAGTGCTAAGACTGCTAAAACTGCTTTACAGTTCTTGTTTTCTGATGTGAGCAATACTTACTGGATTTAAGAAAGTGTCATCTTAGTTCACAGAAGACACAGGATTATCAGATAACTAATGCTTTTGGAAACTGAAATGATCCTGCACTGTACTTTTGGATTTAAGGGTAAAATTACTGTTTGCCAGTCCAAACTTACCAAGTTCCTAGAGCTGGAGAGCTGTAAATATAGATCTTAATAATTAACAGGTCAAATCATCAATCTTACAGAGTCTCTATTCCTCTGTCTCACTTTCAATATAGCTGTATGTATTTTTAAAGAAGTACTGCATTAGATAGCAAGACAGTAATTTCAGTGAAAAATGATGGATTCCTTTTCAGTGACCTAACTTGTAACTTTTTCATTATTGAAGTCACTACTGAGTTCTTTCTGAGGTATGACTAATTTTAGATTTTGGCAATGTTTTACCATCCTTTCATTTTCATGATTGGTGAACTCTGGTTTTATGGGAATTGACCAAAAAAAAAATGTTCTTTAACTTGACTGGCTGCTCAGCCCAATGCAGCACTTACTGTGTGGAGTGATTAATGTCAGAATTTCACAGCACAATTCCATTAGCAAGTTGTGTTAGCAGCTTTCTGGAGTATAATTGGCTACTCATTGAGATCTGAACTTGGAATTAAGTAATAAGTTACTGTGCCAGATGATCTGTATCAAAGCCTAGTGAATGTGACAGCATATGGGGATAGATACTTAGGCTGCAGAATGTCCCATAACAAACATGATGCTTTGCCATTTGGCTATTGACCTGTCTCCTTGTTAAAATTTCATTACTCTAAAGGGGCATCACTGTTGTTCTATAAAGTTTAATTGAGGTCATTTGTTTCACTATTTGAAGAGACTATTGACATCCTCTTTACAGTGTGCAAGATTCCTTGTGGTTTTAACACAGAAATATACTTTGGTCAAAAGACTACTCTTCAAACAAGAGAGTTATCCTTCCTTTTCCATATAGAGGAAGGACATGTTTGCAATCACTGAAGTCATCAGCCTCTTTTCATTTCTGTCACTTTGATTTCAATGAGCAGTGCAATAGCATGAGGAATATTGATTGAATTCATTGATGCCCTACTCGGGGTACAAGTGAGGAACATTATTTTTGTTGTTGTTGTTATTATTATTAACTATTACATGTAATAATATTTTAATAGAATTTAGAGGATAGTACTGGCATAACATTGGGAATTGTATTGTATTTTTCTTCTTCCAGTGAATAAATATGCAAGAATGTTAGGGATGATGGACTGCTCACTTGCAGCACTCTCAGTATTTTGATACTGAGTATTTCCAGCAAGATTATGCAGTTTTCTTTGCTTAAGTAATTGGATAACTGAGAATATTGTTTAGGTAAGAGCCAGTTGTCCAAGATAATCTTTATCAGATTTCATATTAATTGGTCAAGTTGATAGCAGAAGGTGTATGTATATTAATTCAAGTGTTTCATTTTTATCTAGCTGAATTTGCTGTTTAGAATGTCTCTTCAATAGATTCCAGGGTGGAAGAGTTATTTTGGGGATTGAGTTTTAGCAAAGGAGCTGAAATCTTGTGTATTGGACTTCATCATGATTGCCCACATCTTCTCACACAATTAATTACATGAAGCTCAATAAATCTGTCTCAGCAGGAAAGACACAGGATTTAAATATGCAGTTGAATTTTATCATCTGGGATGATGGTTCCTCTGATTTTGGGGTAAATGTAACAGGTCCTAGCTCTGTGCTCAGTTGTTCAAGGGCTTCAGAAGATGTTTGAGGGGCTTGAGGGAGATACATCTCATCTCCAGAGACAGAAGTTGTTGTCATTATGGCACGGAGTATCCAAGCCCAGACATGCCATTTTGAATTAATTTACATAGCAGTTGTGCTTGTACCATAGTTCTGTAACTTCTAACCTACGAGTTCCAAAGTTTATGGCATCACGTCCCATTTTGTCTTTGCTTTTTTGAGGCTTTTAACTAACAAGTTTGTAACACAAGACTAAGACCCACGTACGTAGAGACACTTTGAAAGAAGTGGTTGTGCCTCTTTAGCTCTGATGCTTGTAGTGACATTTCACGTTATCAGATTAATTTTTCCATATATTAGAAGAAAATACATTGAGATTTCACAATCTTCCCAGTAGCTCTGTGGTGTTGCTACTTTTATTAAGCAGCTCCTAAAACCTAAACCACATATGACACGGATTTTTGCTGAGTACTCTTGTCAAATGAGAAGAGCCCATTTTACATGTTAGAGATAATCATGTAATCTGTTTCTAATATGTTAGTCGATGAAGAGAAGATTTATTCAATAGTTTTCCATCTGGCTGCATCTAAAAATAAGTCTGGTTTGTTTCACAAACAGAACAGCTGTGTTCTGTTTACCTTTTACAGTAAAGACATTGAAGCTGTACAGTCATATGTTATACAGTGACTCACAGGGTACCCCTGCTCCCCTGGTGCAAAGTCAAAATCAATTTGTGTCCTGTCAGAGGTGCAGGGAGACTAGAATGAGGTGACTAATGTTTTCCCTGCCTGGGTGGAATCCTGATAAGTTTATTACATTTCCAGCTCAAGAGCCACATTTCCACCGGGTGATTCAGAGATCTTAAAGTGTGAAGGTGAGCTGTATGTGATCTAAATTGGCTTAGTTGTGCAAGTTAGAAAAACCTGTATCTCTTTGTCTTGATGTAAATCAAGCACAGAATAGGATTATCTTACCAAAGCAGACCCAAAGAAGGGAACAAAAGTACAAGGACTTAATTGACTCCCTTTGCCTCAGTCAAGTCAGAAGGCATGGAGCCTCCTTATCCAACAGCAGTGGAGCTTGCACTCTAATGGAGAGGAAATAATGTGTCTAATTATCTTCTAGTGCTGATTGTAGTACATCTCCATGAAGTGAGTGAGTGTCATCACCCAGCATGGCATTTATGCACATTCAGGCACCATTAGTTATATACTCATTAGCATCCGGACATGGGGAGAGACGAAGGATGGGAATGTTGAAATGTAGCAGATCAAAAAATAGTACTGAAATACTTGTTTCAAAAATCAGATGCCCTTTTTCAGATGCTTGTTGTTGTTCAGCAACTCATGATTTCATGTGACTGTGGTAGGTTTTAATATGTTCCTCAGTAGATAGTGCAGATTCACCTCACACTTCTGCTTACCTAACAATTACTAGATAAAACGCAGCAAATGCCACCAGGCACTAAACAGGTTTCACAAAACCCTGTATAAAAATAAATATTCCTACTTTAACTGTCACAAATTTGGCTGCTGTGAATTGAGCTGAAGAACCAGAAAGCTTCATCGAATGCTGTCCTTGTAGGCATGATGTTGTAATAGAAAGCATCAGTAGATTGCATATAGTTGTTTCACAGGCTTTATAAAAGAAACAAACCTTATAAAAGAACCAAAGAAAATCTCACTTTATGTGGCTAGAATTTAAAACAGTTAGAGGACTTCATTAAAGTTTTAACCAACAGTACTTGTAGCTCAAAATATGTGTAGAATGGAAAAACCTTCCTACTTTTGATTCCTAAGTGATTGTTCAAGTGATGTTTATTTAGATTTTGCTTGAGATCCTTAGCATGAGCCCCAGTGGAATTAACAGTGAGGTTGTACATGAAATACTGTATGACTCCAGCTTCAGCTATCAGTGTAAAGATTTGATACTACTGGTACAAGCTGATTCCAACTGTCAGTGGATGTAATGAGGTGGCTGGAAGTTATGTCTGTAGCTAAGCACCTGGTTGAACTGATTGACAGAAAGATTGCATTGCAGTGACAGTCATGATAAGAACCACAGAATCAACGAGGCTGGAAAAGAGCTTCAAGATCATCAAGTCAAGCCTTTACCCCAGCCCTGCCAAGGCCACCACTAACCCCTGGCACTGAGGCCTCGGCTACACGGGGTGTGAACACTTGCACGGACGGTGACTCCAGCACTGCCCTGGGCAGCTTGTTCCAATGCCTGAGCACCCTCTGGGGAAGGAATTGTTCCTCATCTCCATCTGAACCTGCCCTGGCTGTTTCCTCTTTCCTGTCACTTGTTAAGTGGGAAAAGAGACCAACTACCTCCTGGCTCCATCCTCCTTTCAAGTAGTTGTAGAGGCACTCAGTTCTGAGCATCTGGGTCCCAAGTGTAGCAAATTTGGCTCTGTGTATGAAGAAATTGTGGCATAATCTGTATTCATCTTTGTATAGGTGGTTGGTTATAATTAAAATTGAAGGGTATTTTCCAAAGCAGGGACATGCTTTCCCTTGAAAAAGGCAATCTGAAAGTGTCTGAAAACAACAGTGAGACCTGGCAGTGCTGTGTCAACCCTCTTCCCTCCTGGAACACCAGATCAAGGTCATGGTAGAGTTTTGTGCTGCTTGTTTTCTCTAGGCCATTAAAAACCAAACTGGTCCAGTGCCAAAGTCCTTAGTGGCACTGGTGCCTGCTTGGGCTTGGGGTCTGAGTAGTTTGTTTCCCATCCTCTTTCCTACTGGTATTAAACAGAGATGGTATGGGAAAAAGAAGTCGTACCTCAGAAGAATTTTCTCATCCTAAGAATTATTGATACTGTTTTATATAAATTGGGAATAGCTTTTAATGGACTTTCCTAGAGTTTTGATGGGAATTTTGTTTGAAAATACTACGTTTCTGGTATTTATGCTGAGTATTTTCATCTTTACATCTCATTTACGACAAAGTTTCTTCTTGCAGACAAACACTCTTGCTGCCTCAGAAGCCATTACCCTGGTGCCTACACTGTGCTGACACCTTTAATCCCACTATCTTCCTTAATGCATGTCCTGCCAGTACGTTCCAGCTCCCTTAGAACCTTTCTTCACCTTATCTATCATTTCACTTACAATCAAAATACGAGCTTCTGTACTGTTATAAGGTTAGCCTTCCATGCCTGCCTTTAAACATCAGACAACCTTCACACTTTGTCACAGGCTGCTCCTCACCCTTGAGGACCACCCCACAGAGTCACAATGCGATCTCCATTATTAATAGCTCTTAAAATGGTTTTATCAACTTCACTGTTATTCTTCAAAGCTCTTCATAAAGCTCTTTGTCTCAATGTCCATGTAATGAAAGACCTGACTAACAGGGGAGCTGCTTATTTATTGAGGCTGTTGTACTGACTGGTTTTCTGATAGCTCCTGCAGTTTGCCGATCTGTGTCCTTACATAGTTCGTAATTCCTCCAACATAATATGATAGTTTAGTTCTGGATTTGTATCAGGTACCTTCTTCCAATAAACTACAGCTGAAATATTTTCATCAAAATCCTGTTTATAATTTTTTTTGTTTCATTCTCCCTTCTCTTTACAGAGACATCAGCAAGAATCAAATCTCTGACATTGCACCTGATGCATTCAAAGGCTTGAAGTCTCTCATTTCATTGTAAGTAGAAAATAGAACTGAATGGGCATTTGGGAAGAGCTTGCATGTAAGAGAAATAAAGATGATAATGTGCTATCTGGGAGAACTTAGGTTTCTGTGTGCAGTTGCCAGCTTGTGTGAAGCATCTCATCTTTTGCAAATGAAATATTGGTCACAAAGGTTAGGAGGAACTGTTTGCACATCTCTGGTAAGTTCTTTTGTGGGTGAACACCCCAAGGTTACTGATTTGTTCACTTCTTCAGATTCAGTGCATTGGTTGATGTGTTGTACATGTGTACCTGCAGGCCGATCCATGGTGCACAAATCCTCATCACAGCTCAGACACTGTTTGGTGGTGTTCATCAGGGAGGAGTTAGGGGGAATTCTTCCATACTGAATTTTTCTTCTGTATTAAAGACCTGAGATTGCACTCTTTTGTGAGTTTTTTGGTTTATTTGGTTTTGTTTGGGGTTTGGGATTTTTTTTCAGACTAGTGAGGGAAGAACCTAAGCTCTTAAGAAAATGTTTCTATTGCTTAGCTGTAATTACCACTTTATTAAGCTGGAAGGGGACTAAAATATGACTCCATATAAAAGATAAAAGGAAGGCAGGATCTCTTGACAACCATTCCTTTCTCCTTGTAGAACACAAAAACTGTTTTAGCACCAAGTTGAATTTAAATGCAGCTATATTTCAACCTAGCTACCCACAGCACTATTAAAACAGTGGGGCTTTTAATGGGTACAAGGTCAGAAGCTGCATATGGAGAAAGAAGTAGAACAGAGTGTTAGAAAGAGCCCCAGGTTAAGCGAAGAGGGTAAGCTCAACTGGAGTAATATTTGCCTGCATTAATTGTAAAGACAATTTTAAAACATTTAGCTCATTAATATTCATGTAATAGTTTTATTTTTAAGGATGTAGTTTATTTCTAAAAGCTGCCATGATTTTATTCTCTGAATACTGGAAAATTCAAACCCCCTATATAACTTGTTGACTACTGCTAATATTAGAAGTTCATTCAGCACTACACATACATGTTGCAGTACACTCTGAGCCAGATTGCAGAAGGATGGGCCTTTTTTTGTGCCCTGGATCCAGCTGGGAGAATGCCAGAAATATATATTAAGTGTTGCTAGCCTTTGTTGAGTAGTCAGGGTGGTGTTATTCAACATACTGTGGAAACGGTCAAATCCCCCAATGCTGTCTGGAAATGATTCAGTAAGAGAATGACATTTAGCGAACACTACAGTTCTGGCTTAGTATGAAACTACTGCTGATGTTGCAATGCTACAGCTTTCTGGTATTGGCAAACCTTCTGGCTAGGAGCAAGCTGGACAGGCAAGACATTTCTACTGGGCTTGACTTCCCAATGCAGAAGTTATTCAGCTTCTCCCAGGTGGCCTCAGGAGTGGGACAGAACACATCAGAGTGGACAGAGAGGAAATGAGAATATAAACGGGGTGGGAATTTATAGTGTTTTGACTTGCATACAGAAGCAAGTGAAATGACTGTGTATTCTCTGCCCGGTCATCCAAAATGATATTTTAAGTAAATGATGTTTAAATACGTTTATATCCAAGTCGGTAATACAGTGCTTAAGTTAATGGTAGGAGGTTCCAAGGGGGAAGAGAGAGGGGAGAGAGATGAGATGCAGCACAGGAAGGGAACTGCCTCTGAGCAGTGTTTCCTAGTGTTTGCCTCAGTTTCCTCCCTCTGCAGCCACACAAAGCTGGTGTAACACACAACTGTTTCTCGTTTGTCTGGCAGACTGGTTTCTAGGACAGTATCAACTCCAGCCTTGAAACTGTCAGCCTCCTCCTCTAGGTTCAGTTGTCCATTGTGCTTGCCATTGGCTTTTACTTTCTTTTGAGAGGTTTTACTCTTGCAGCTCATTGCAGGTAGGTCTTACAAGTGTTTTCCCTATGACTGATAGACAAGAGTTAGTTTCATGACCTGTTACCCAGGTCATGAACCTCTGGCAGGTTCTTCCCTGCTTATCACTTGTGTAGGTGTTCCAGTTTCTGAGCCCTAGGTATCGTTATGGAGCAAGATTATCTGGTCTTCTGCAGAATCTGGGTTTCTCTGAAGAAACCTCCCCCAGGCTTCTACTTCTGAAAAGTAGAGGATCTTCTTTCATCTGATCTCTGCTCTAGCCACCAGGGCAGTTCTGTCAACCGCAGAAAGACAAGTAAGTGCAAGAGCAGATGACTTCTTTGAAGTGCTAGCCCTCCCAGTGAAACTGCCCAAGGGGAAAGAACAAGGAGGCAGAAATGAAGTAAGAGGGTTTGCTTACCTGTGTTTTCTCTTTTAAGCGGTTCA